CAAGAAAGATTGGTGGGCTTTCGTAAATCGGACAAGACCTTCCTCCTGGAACCAGCTCCTCCTTTACCATGAATAGTTATGTTCTTCTTTCTGAGTTTCTTGTAGACGAACAGGGTAGCGTTCGCGTTCTAGGAATTAAAAGCACGGTAGTAAAAAAGAAGTGGAATTACAATTTGGTTTTGTTTTGTTTACACGGTTTCAAATTCAGCCAATTAACCAGTTAAAAAAGGTATCCCGATTAGAGCAATAATCAATTAATCAATTAATCGCCGAGCCCTAACTTATTTTCCCTGTCATTTATACAGGGTAATTTTTTTAGCTGCACCAAATTTTCAGAAAAAAGAGCTGCGTTAGGGCACTATTAGTAATGACATTAGCATACCCGACCTGGCGCCCACTAGGAACCAAGTATTTTGTGCAACTAGGCGACTAATTGACGGCGATCTCTTAATTAACTTTAATAACTGTTCATAGAGGGCCTATTGCGTTTACGAAATTGAAGCCCAACCTTAATATGCTCCAACCCACAGCAAAGTAAGGGCACAAACAATTTCTGCGCGCGTTTCTGGCTAAATTATTTAATTCCCGCAGGCTCTTTCAAACCGAAACTGACCAGAACAAGAGCGTCAATGACGTCGACATCTTCGCCCTCGCTTGGCGTCACAGCAGTGACGTCACCTTTGATGCAGGCACTGCCGTCAGCGCTGTTGCAATACGTTGCTTTCTCCTTAGTGTTTTGCTTACCGCGGCAGACGTAATTTAGGCGTCTGCGGTCGGCGTCAACTGTGCTGTGTCATATCCCTCTCTTGACCTGCGGGCGACGCGACGCTTTCGTTGGTACGATAAATGCTGTTGCATGCATTACCAACGGCCGGCAACGTTAGACGAGCTTCCTGCGTTTTAGTTGGGAAAAAATATTTTTCAATGCTGGAGACTTCTGCTACCTATTATTTGCCACCGCTGCTTTATTTCTCTTGTGGAAATGGAGCGTGCTGGTTAAGTTACGGTGTTTGTGGAGAATAACATAGAGGACGAAAACAGGACGACACGTTTCTCCACGTGTCGTCCTGCTTTATTTCTTTCTTGCTTTTTGACGCATTAAACTAGCCTGGTTTTTTGTAAAGAACAAAGTAATCATGCTTGTGTAATATCACTCATTGGCCCCTCCGGCAGTTAAACTATTGCAGCGTGTAACAAAATAATCTTTCTTTGTTCTATGTTTTATGGGCTCTTCATAAATGAGGAAGGAGCATTGCACCGGCGTCCTGGCTCACGTTATGGTAGTCATGTGCTGTGCGCGGCACAGTGCGAACACGGCATCGGCGCTTTTTCAAGTGTAGCTCAAACAGGGCACTGTTGAGAACTAAGTTTTACCGCATCGCTTAAAACCCCAAATAATGCTAAAAGAATAAACAGAGGGACGGACAGAACAACGCATCTTTCGTGCTTTCGTGCCTCTGTCCGTCCAGGTATCTGTTTATTACACTGTCCGTCCCTCTGCTTATTATTTCAGTATTATTTAGTTTACCAACACGCTGACGTCTAACTTAGGGCCCAAAATTAGCACTTTTCACAACACCAGTATTTTCTTCGGAAACCTTTTAGTTCGTAGAAAAAAGCAGGCAAAAATATGGCTTACGACATTTTGGTGCATAAAAAAAAAAAGAAAGCTTGGCAGCCAAAGTGATTTGGGCATGTGATAAGCCATCCAGCGTTTGCCACCGCCTGGCCACTTTATGAAGTTGGAAACAGTTGCATTCAAAGCAAGGGCTCGAATTGGACTCCGGCTACAGAAACGCGCATCATCAGTCGGCTCCGCATAGAACACAACACGCGCTCGAGCATTTCAGGCTGAATTGTGGCACAGGCGGCGACGATTCTTTGTTTCAGGTTGTCCACGCTGGTGGGTTCCGTAGCGTAGACTTTATTCTTTGCATAACCCCAAAGAAAAAAAAAAATCTAAAACGGGCTCAAATCTGGTGATTGTGCCGGCCACGGAACTGGACCACTGCGTCCAGTCCACTGCTCTGGAAAAGTTCAGTGTAGAAATCCAACAGCACGCGAAGAAGAATGCGCTGGAGCGCCGTCCTGTTGAAAACACGACTCCTTCAGCACGCGGGCCGGCAATTAACTCTTCCACGAGTCCCTCAAGGATTCTCCCCGTGTATAGTTTTCCGTTCAGTGTGCCGTCAAAAAAATATGGGTCAATGATTTTATCATTAAATATTCCACACTATACGTTAATAGACCATCTCACTTGATATTGGTGCTGACGGAGCCAACGAGGATTTATGCTTGCCCACTAATCGGCATTGTGGAGGTTCACCGTTGAATTTCTGCAGAATTGAGCCTCATCACTCCAAATAATTTTTTTTAGGAATCCAGGATCCCGGTTCATTTCAATCAGGGCCCAATTGCAAAAGTCCAGTCGTCGTTGGAAGTCACTACCATGTAGCTCTTGGTGCAGGCTAACGTGAAGCGGATGCATGGGATGCTCCACAAGCACTTTCCACACTGCAGAGATCGTTGTCCCACAAGACCTCGCAATTTCGCGCACGCTTGCTTCAGGCTTAGCTTTTACGTACGCGAGAACGTCAGTCTCGAATTCGCGGTTAAGGACATATTTTTTCAGTCTTCGCCCACTTACCACCGTGCCACTTGATGCAAAATTGTTGAAAACGCTTATGAAGGAAGTGTGGGCAGGAACGAAGCGACGTGGGTGCTGCGCGGCATAAAGTTGCGCAGCATGACGAGCATTCTTTTGCATAGTTAAATTTGCGATCACCATGTCTGTATTTTCTCCAACCGAAAGCCTTGTCGCAATGAGCGACGCCATTCAGATATGTTTCCTGCCACAGTCAGAGAAAGAAAGGCACAGCACTATGAATCGCATAGCGCCTGTGTTATCTGTAGCCTTCGTCCTTCCAAAGATATGGGTGCAAACCTGTGTCTTTTACAACAGAGGAGCAAGTGACGCAGCGTTCATCGCTTTGTAGCACCATTGGCACAAGTCTTCGGAGCAGCTTCTATCATATCAACGAAAGGAAAGGGTAGCGTCACGATGCCCACTGGGACAGCGTGATTTACACCTGCCGTGGTAAGCAAAACACTAAGGAGAGAGCAACGTATTGCAATAGCGCTGACGGCAGTGCCTGCATCACAGGTGACGTCACTGTGGTGATGCCAAGCGAGGGCGAAGATGTCGACGTCATTGACGCTCTTGTTCTGGTCAGTTTCGGTTTGAAAGAGCCTGCGGGAATGAAATAATTTAGCTAGAAACGCGCGCAGAAATTGTTTGTGCCTTTACTTCGCTCTGGGTTGGAGCATATTGAGGTTGGGCTTCAATTTCGTAAATGCAATAGTCCCTCTAAAAACAATAATTAAAAAGTTAATTAAGAGATCTCTGTTAATTAGCCGCCTAGTTGCCAAAAATACTTGGTTCCTAGTGGGCGCCAGGTCGGGTATGCTAATGGCATAACTAAAAGTGCCCTAACGCAGCTCTTCTTTCTTGAAAATTTGGTGCAGCTAAAAAACACACCCTGCATAAAGTAAAATAAAAAATGAAAAACGTTTACAACTCTCTGTAATGCTGAATTAGAGCGCAGTTCTTGAGGAGGAGGATGGGAGGGTACAGAAGGGACGGTATGCCTCTCCTCCTGCCTCCTCAATTACTCCTCCCCTACTCCTCGCCTCGTCCCCCTCTTCTCCTCCTTCCACCCTCCTCCTCCTCCTTCCCCCTGCCCCTCCTCCCTCCCGCGCGGTGCATTATGAAAAACGTCTCATAATGCAACGCGCGCGTCACCTCGGCGCATTATGGGACGTTTCCCGTAATGCACCCTGTGGTTACGCCGACGGCAGCGCGGACGCGTTACTTTGACCCGTTACGGCTACGCCGATGGCGACGCCGACGGGTCACGCCGACACGTTACGCCAACGTGTTACGGTTACGCGTTACGGTAACGCCGACGCCGACGCCGCTCAAGCCGGAAACGGGCGCCTAGGAGCTGCACTCTAAAAAGTTCACGTACACGGTCTACCGGAACACCACCTACAATATTAAAAAAAAAGAGCAATGTTCACTGTTAATATTTAGACGCTGCTAGCTATCATTTAAACTCTTCAGTATATTGGTGCGCCACGTACGCCATATTTGTTTAGCTTAGCAAGTGAGGTCTGTGACTAGGGCAGTCGAAAGCTTTGCTGAAGTCAGTAAAAGCACCAAGTCGATTTTATCAGCAAAGGAAGTCGCTTTATATAATTTTAAAATATTTTTTTTTGTAAGACATATTTCGTTAGTTTACCTCTTGGGAAACGAAATTTAAAATATGTCACTAAATAATGCTTTACAAAAGAAAAGTAAAAAATGTTTTAAAATAAATTAATGAAGATAATTTTGCGTTTTGACACTATCCTATATTTATTCCTGATCAAACTAACGGGAAGATTATATCGCTGGCACAGCAACATTCTGGTTGTGCATGAATTTACAAGTTGAGTAGTCAATTTTCATCAACGTCGAGTTTGGAGGTTTACATGTCAAACCAACGACGGACATCTGGCAGCTGGGGATTAATTTCGGGCATCTGGGGATTTTTTTAACCGAATTCTCGGTTACACGGCTCCTATTCCGCAATGAGCCTCCGCTACCTGGGGATCCGTAAGGCCGACGCTTTGCCTCGGAGGAGCCGAGGCGTATTAATCAATTTCCATGATTAATCAGTTGTTAAATAATTGTTCACAAAATTACCGGAAGATAAAAAGGACCGCAGCCCCCACTCGGGTCGCCCGTACTGCACAACGCACCGTATACCAGTTCGGCTACTGGTTAGCGATTGCGGCGCTCGTCGGTAAGAGGGAAAAATGCTTTTTACGTCCTTGGAACTGTTGTCGCTCGCTACGTGTATCGTGAGAGGCCGCCTCCCAGAAGCACATCCTTTCCAAAACTGGTTCTACAACGTCACGCGCGTCGAGGTAATTGAAAGATTTCGTATCTCTCTTCTTTTCTTTTCTTTTTTTTCCCGCTTTCTGAAACTTTCCTGGATTGCACTCGCGCTTCGTATCGAGGGTAAACATGGCGTCTTGACTGTCGTCTGCGAAGGATCGCTGGTCGTGTGCTCCACCAAAGTAAGTACCCCATGCTTTGGAGTTGCGTTTTATTGGAATAATTTGGCATAGTCTGGTACAGAGTGATACCACATTCTCTCTTGCGTGTACCCGATTCCCAAGACGTATTTCTAATTGAACGTCACCTGTTGCACGTGGATTGAATATTTGCTCGTGTGATACTATCGAAACCAGTTCAACACGCAGCTCATTAAAAGAGCGTTCTGTTGTCCGAAATCATTGTTCTAAATATGCAATGAAAGTCTCCCAACTGACTTATCGTATCTCTTGTATTGGTTTATGATTGGGATAATGTGCCGAAAGAATCGGTTGCGAGTTTCAGAGGTGTCATTTGCTATCGAGTTGGCTCGACATCCGTATTGGAATTTATTATTGATTAAACTCTTAGAATGGCCAGAATGTGTCACATATCTCTGTGAGTTCAATTTTAGCCTTCATTTTTAACCAGGTTCCAAGGTTCAGACGCGAACAAAACGAATGAAGGGTATTTAGCTAAAGTCAAGCCAATTTTCCATCATTCTCAGTCAAAACAGAGATAAAAAGAAAAAAAAAAAAAAACAGGAGCGTTTATTTTATATAAGGCGAATTAAACTAGGCCTTTATTTTCTGGTGTTTTTAGCCACTAGAGATTGAGAGTCATCGTTGGTTGATTGACGACTCGTTTGACATTGCTCAAATCGACGCCAATAAGTAATGGATTTTTTTTTGCTGTAATCGATTACAAAATTACCCATTGCAAATTGTTTAAATTTTTATTTTATTTATTTAGTTATTCATTTTATATTTTTTTTTGGAGGGGGGGAGTGGGGCAAGGGGTTAGATGCGCTAGAGTCACTCAGCTCTGGGCAACGGTCTTTTTTCTTTCCCCAAAACTGTTGAGCACGGTACTTCGAGGATTAGTAGGCCACTTCACTATGCTTCGTTTCCTGGGTACACTTTTTTTTTTTTGGTAGGCCGGAGACTCCGTCCCGGTATGAAAAATGACAATATCCAGCCTCTTGTGATTAATGCATTTAAACAGAGCTCTTTTTATTTCACTTTTTTCCACGAGAGGAACTGGGTATGTTGGCGTCACTCACTCAGCTCTAAACGAAAACAATCAAGGCTTTTTTTTTTTTTTTTCGGAACAACGGAGGGCGAGTTTCCAAGCATTCTGCTACCGTAATAAAAAAGCTGATTGAAAAGTAACGTGGAAGGTAATCAATTACTTTAGGGTAATTTTTCTATTATTTTTGAGGCTCCAATTGTAATTGTAATTCGTTACTTTTCAGTAAAATGTACAAGTCAGTCTATATATTTTTATATATATATATATATCGTAAGAAGGGGTTAAATATCCATACTTTCGGAGTTGCTATGCTAGGAGTTTATTGTACATATTACGACAGTTTCACCTAGAGGCTCGGTTTTGTCAGGTATACCATGTCCTGACGAAGCCGAGCCTCTCGGAGAAACTGTCGTAATACGTACAATAAACTCCTATCACAGCAACTCCGAAAGTATGTATCTTTGACTTTACATGTATATATATATATATATATATATATTTCCAAACGGCAGAAAAACGCACTTGAGATGGTTGTTTGGAGTTTTATAACATACTATTTGTAATATCAGTCGACATCTCGGCCTGAGACAGACCAGGTCTGTCTTAGGCCGAAACGTCGACTGACTTTACAAATAATATATTATAAACTCCAAACAACCGTCTCAATTACGTTTTCGTGCTATTTATACTTTTCGCCATCCTGTACTACGTTTTTTTCTCTCTTTCTCTTTTTATATATATATATATATATATATATATATATATATATATATTAAAGAACGTACAAATAAAAATAAAATTAAGCCAACTTAAAAAAACAACTGTTATTGCAAATGTAAAAATCGAAGGCACTCTGGCTCCCACATCGTCAATAGCTTTGTGGGTGTGTGTATTTGGGGGGGGGGGGGGAGGGGGGGATAAGTGTCTTTCGTTGTATGAGGCGGCGTTTGTACTCGGTCGATTACCGCTTACGTTTTCTTAACCTTTCCCCTTCTAGCTCTTTCAACGTCTTTCGCCACAAATAACAAGCTAGATCGACGCCATGAAGCTGTTACTGCCCCTGCTGTGGTGTTTCTTCGTCCCAATGGGGGTCCACTCCATCCACTTTCGTCGGAAAACAGCGCGGCTACAACAACAACACGCCGCGGCCATCAACTCGGTCGTGGAAAGCATCAACTCGCTCGGCATCAGGCTGCTCCAAACAGCGGGCGACCGCAATATGCTGCTTTCACCACTCAGCCTGAACGTTGTGCTCAACATGGTGCTTTTGGGAGCACGAGGTCGCACGGCCTACCAAATGTCTTCCCAGCTGAATCATCCCGACAAAAAGGGCTTGAGCGAGCTCCTCAAGGACATGACATCCACCAGAGGCAATAAGAGGGCCTCGTCTTTGGACATGGCTTCAGCTATGCTCATCGAACAGGGCGCGCCGTACAACGAAAGCTACCACAGGGAGATTGAAGACTTGTTTGACGCCAACCTGGGAGTCACTCAGTTTGCACAGAATCCCGACGAGATCGTGAAGGAAGTGAACGCGTGGGCGAACCACAAGACGCGGGGTAGGATCGATAAATTCCTGCAGCAGGCACCTGACGCGGCAACAAAGATGCTTGTCTTGAACGCCATGTACTTCAAGGGCAACTGGAAAACTCAGTTCGACCCCGAGTTCACGGAGAAGCGCACCTTCCACAACCTCGACGGTACAAAGTCCAGTGTGCCGATGATGTTTCTCATTCATGGATTTGAGCTCGGCTACGACGCCGCCCTGGACGTGGACGTGCTTAAGCTTCCTTACGCAGATGACCACTTTAGCATGATTCTGGTGGTGCCCAGGAACCGTCAGAACAGCATCGGAGCAGTTGTCCAAGGTCTGAGCACAAGTAAGCTGAATTCCATGCTTCGAAACCTGGATACACAAAACGTCGAGCTGACAATGCCTAAGCTGAACGTTGACCAGTTGCTTAAACTGCGCGGATCTTTGGAGCAACTTGGCCTTAAGGTGCCGTTCTCTGAGTCAGCGAACTTCAGCGGAATCAGTGAAAAATTGGATCTGAGACTGAACGAAGTGATGCACAAGGCCGCGCTGGATGTCGACGAGGAAGGTACTCGGGCTGTGGCCGCCACACAAGCACAGTTTGTTTCCAAGTCGCTAGTGCAGTTTACACAGTTCACGGTTGATCACCCCTTCTTAGCATTCATCCGCCACGAGAAGTCTGGTGCTATCGTGTTTCTGGCGCATATTGTTTCTATGGATGCGTGAGAAGGGTCTCCAGGCATATAACTGAAGTTTCAGCATGTTGAAGCGGGTTTAGACCATTGCCATGTGGATGTGTAGTTGTTAAGTACACAGTGTTGACTTGCTTTAATTCGAACTTATAAGAGGTAAGGCAGAAGGAAATCTAGGGTTCTGTTGTTTTTTGACAGGTTTGAGAAATTAGTGACTGAGAAAAGTTCTTTTGAGCGTGCTACTGGGTGTGCACACTAAGCAAGCCTCTATGTGCTCCATTGACACATGTGCAGAGCGCCTATCGATGCTACCTTACTAAGTATACAAACGTGCTTGGAATATATATTTGTGAAATAATTTGTTTTTGTTTACGTCTAAGTGCATGCGATATTTGCGACCTTTAGTGAAGATTATATGAGTCGACATAAGTTGTAAAACGTAAAAGTTATTCTGATTGGGAATTCATGAGTACTGGCTTTAACATCTTCTCATCCTAAGTAAAGATGTATACATTTTTGTTAGAGATATACGTTTACTAAAGCCAAAGCTGAAAATGAGGACTGCAAAAAACTTACTTCTTTGGGGGACAAGTGTAATAAGTTATATGCTGGTACTGACTTGCAGAAAGACGCTGACCAGCTCCAGCTTTAGAGCCCTAAAAATATTTTTTTTCCGTAGGTGTGCTTTCATGCTAATATACACACCTAGCGTCCCAAAACTGATGTATTTATCAAAGAGTATAATGTATATCTGTTTGACTGAAATTTACTGTGTGCTGCAGGTATGACATAATCGTTTTGGACGATTCTTTGGAGAAAACCAAAGCTCGCGTGCAACCAAATAACCGGTGCACATGTACCAACCGCAAGGTTTCATGAAATGTTCGTATGATCTTAATATATTCAGGATTTTGAATAGTGCTACTGTGTTTCCGATTAAAGTTTTGTTGGCATGGCTTATGCCTTACGGTTATAGGCCCATTATCACCCGGGCACTGCGAACACTGCGGTCATATGCACCGTTTGTTAAATATGCTTTTTACATTCATGAAAATTCCCGAACGTTAACCTATATTACAGAAGGTATGTATATTTCAGGAATAAAGTTATATCGATCATACTTTTTTTTTGGCTTTCGCCGTTGAAATTGTGACGGCATGTCTTGTTTGGACCTCTCTAGCTGCTGGTACAAATTGCGTGCCTATGAAACATATCTATTTTTTACTCCTAGAGTTTCTATTTGTGCTCTAACGCAACGAAGGCAGCAAAAATTACGCTTAAAGGAATCTTTAGTGCGGATCACACCACCACAATCTGATATATTATAGAACTCGCCTATGAGTCATTCAGATTTGTTTTTTTTTCTTTTACAGCTAGTTCAGGTTTGAAAATTTGAATATTTCTTGAACACTGCGTCTGTAATTTATAGTTTCTGAAAATATAAACAGTAACTAACACGACAACTGCGCGAGTAAAAAAACAACAACTAAAAACCAAAAAAAAAATTGAAAACAGGTGTGATAGTTTACGGTCTCCACCGAAGCTATTGCCACAGGATTATGTGCACGCATCGAACACCCAAGAAGTGTCTCTATTTTAAATAAAATAAGGCTCATGGCCATGCTAGAAGCACATTCTTGATTTCTGCGTGGCCTCTACAACAAGCTGGAATAGTAGACGTTTTCCAAAATGCAGTGCCATCTCTTGGCTCCAATTTTAGTTCAAATTTTTCATGATTTTTTCATTTTTCCGAACGTCAACGGCAAACGGGAACTTTTTTTTTCACCGTACTGTTTTGTTTAAAAACAATTCGCGCCTTGATGGTGATAATAGAAACTACCCAAGGACTCACCTAAACGTGAAACTCGCGATAAAAGTCACCACATCACGGGCTTGTGGTTCAGTCGTGAAACAATCTATTTATTGAAAACGAGTTCATCTCATTCATTTGTCGCATTGAGATAACGTCTAACAAGCGAAGGTTTTGCGTTATACGATTTGGTGCATGTCTTCAACTTCTTCCTCCACCAGCCACCAGAAGGACGCTATTATCGTGCGGCAGATGTCATGCACTTCGATGAATGTAATGATGAAAATTACCAGACCGACCTTCGGAAAGGGAACGTGCGAAGTTGCATTGTCATAGCGTGTGAAATGAGCGCAGCGCTTCAGACATTCAGAACTAAAAAAAAATAAGATAAAGCACAGAAAAATAATATGCCAGATTCAGCTTCATTTCTCAGATTCATTCTGAAGGGTCAGGAAAAATTTGACTGCAATATGTTTTCCGTTTGTGATTATTTTTCAGGCAATATATAAAATGGCATCGCCGAGGCATCGCTCCCGTTCCAGCCGGTCGGTGATTGTTTTATATTGCCAAAATATTGACGGTTCTGCATAATATTCGCTATAAGTACTTATAGGAAATCTGGAATTTAAAATAAACCCAACGCATCGACTGTAAAAAAAGAACATAACTAGAGGCAAATTCAAAATACATTTGCAAATAAAAATAAAAAAACATGATAAAATTTATATTCGTAAGCTTTGAAAAACAAACATATTTCTTGCACTAAAAGTATAACTATGGCCGTGTCCACAGCACATTCGTAACATCCGTATCACACATAAACACCTGTGGTTAATTCTTTATGAAAACGAGTGTGGAACTAGTTTCCAAGTTGAGTTTCGAGACATTCAGGTTCGCTTTCTGCGCATGCGTTCCGTCCTTATAAATACACCCCTCCCATTTCTTAGAAACACCAACGCGATTGAGATATTAGGTCTCGTACGTCAAACACCAGGTAAGGTTGTATGCCTTGAGGAAAACAAAGAAACCAGCGCGCGAAGAAAACTCGTTACAGTGAGATTGAATAGAGCTGTGGTGGTTTTGTTTCACCATATCTTGACTGACAAGCTGTTGAATCTGCTAAAGCTAATGGGACGCTGTGGGATATTTGCAGCTTCCAGTTCGTCGTCCTTCAATTTCGGCGTCGGTCACAGGCACGGAGCTACGCAGAACAGGAGCGCGAACCTCCGAAGCGCTCTCCGTTGCCTCTCTATATGACGCTTTTATTGGTATGTTACTAGAGCAGCTTGCTCCGTTTGCCACTTAATGCTGAGACACAGTGAATGAATAGCGTTTTTCTTGTTGATAGCTAGAATCTGGTATGACATCAGACAGGTGTGTAATGCCATTATGGAATAACTTTTTTGTCCTAAATTCGGCAACAGGAGAGACCCGCATGCACTTCCCCTGAGGTCAAGTCAAATCTTATGCGGTTCAGGGAGGCGAAGCCCGTGTCATTGACGGATTAGCCCCGCTCTGTCGGCGTCACGAATGTTCACCGTCTGTAATTTTTGAGCTGAAAATGAGTTACCTATATGCCCTTTGCCACCTCAGCAGCTTGAATTAAAAATTATTCAAATCCTTTCCATCATATTAATGACTTTATTTACCATACAAGTATGGTGGGAGCTGAGGAAAAAAGTTGTGCAAGCAGCTTGACTGGCAGAATTAGTGGAATGCAAGTGACCAGCAGAAAAGTTTTGTTGACACAAGTTAATTCATCCTTGTGCCATCCCGCCCACCTCCCCGCCCACCCCCCGTATCCCCGTCCTAATCAAAATGTGAGAACGACAACAGTCGTTGTTGCTTTTTACTCAAAGGGGCGGATTATAGTATACATGCAGTCTGGACACGTGGAGGAAAAACACAGTGCTGCCAACACTATATGTGCCCTCAACTGTTTAGCAGCTTCATTAGAAAGATAAAATATGTACGTACGGATTATATATATAAAGAGAGAGATTTTTTCTTTAGAGCCAACGTCAATCTCAATGTTTCGCTTCGTGCTTATTAAACGAGTCTATGAACAGTCAACACACTCATTAGACCAAGAGTCCTACCGTGGGCACTAAATGAAAAAGCCGGTGAAAAATCCGGTGAAAAATCCGGATGCCATGATTGGCCGGCGCCGCGCTTGACCTTCGCCAAGTGTCCAGATTAGGTCCCAGGACGTATACAACAACACGCCGCTCAGGCGTTACGCTACTGCGGTGACGCATGGCAGTGGCGCAGTGCATGCGTAAAAGGTTCAGGTGAATCAGGTTTCTGCGCGCGCGTAGTGGCCATACCTGGTACGGGCTAGCGCTGACTTGTTTGTCAACAGCGTGTTGGTCTATGGGCAAGCCAGGAGCGAGAACCGTGGCCTATACCTAACAAGGGCTGATAATGAACCAACTGCGCTCACTCGCATTTACGTTTACCATCTAAAATGCTACGGTAAGCAACCTTTTTTTTCGCGTGTCTTTTCTACGTATTAAGAGTAAAACGCGAGAAAAATTAAAGCTGGATACGGTCAGCTTATTGTAATAGTAGTAAATAGATTTTACAATTTAGGAGCAGTGTTAGGTGTGCGTTAGTTTTTAAAAACAGCCAGCAGAGACGAAGTTTCCACGCTAACTTATTGGACTTCCAGTTATGTTCTTTGTTTATGTCTTAAGTTACGAAATATGTTATGAGATGCAGTTTTCATGGAGTTTCTTGACGCTTTACGTTGCGTTTTGTTACAGAGACCGGGATCGCGTCTCAAAATCCGACGACACAAAAACGAAAATACGCGAAAGTACAGGAAGAATTAGAATGGGACAACTCCTGAATAAGAATAGGAATGTTGCCATCTTTTGAAAGTCAAATAACACTCCACTGTCTAACAAACAAAGAGAAAGGGCGTCTCTTGAATAAAATGGAAGTTAAATTGTCGTCATTCGTGTATTTCGCCATTCGCTGGACTTCGAACTGGAAGGAAATATTACTGTGATGTATTTTAGTAAAATGAAACCGGGAATTAAACGCACCGGGGAAGGTTCGGAGCAGAAAAAGAAATCAATAACATGAACATGAATTGAAAAAAAAGAGAGAATGAAGAGAGAATGCTCAATTATGGAATATTAAAAATAATGATAAACTAGGATTAAGAAAAAAATTGTCATTTGATAGTACGTTTAATGGATTGCATATAATTACTTGTTTACTTAATCCGATGGCAAAAGTTATCTGGCGTAGCTTTTGAGAGAAAAGTAACTAACGTCATTATCAATTTGTCTTTTTTATGTGTGCTGGCATCCTATATACACGCCAATTTCATATGTTGTTTCTCAAACAAGTATATATCTTTTTTTCATAGAAACTTCTTACGAGGTAAGTACTCTCCTCGCCCGACTTTCTGAACTGGAAAGGAAACAGAAACGTAAAAGAGTTTCGGGAATGGAGGCAATCTGAGGACGACGAGAAATTGGTTTTTTTAAATCGCTGCAACTGAAACAAAAAAAGGAGCGAAAAAAGACATGCTGTACCATTCCTAAATAAGATTATGCCTCCACTTCATGTTCTGTTTTTATACTTTTTCTAGCATAGTGCTATAGGTTTTTCATCATCGCACCGTTTCATATTTAGTAATTCAATTAAATTCTCGCTATATTTTTATTTCAATGTCTGATGCTTTTTAATATTCCTTTCCAAGGTTCTCGCAAAATTAGAAACGCTCGCTCAATCGTAGGAAAACGCCACAAAGAGAGGGAACGTGTTTGCGAAACAGCGTATTTCAAGCCTTTGAAACCTTTGCCTTTTTTAGACAAAAAAACAACAACAAAAAACTTTGGATGTTATAAAAACTGCATGGCTATAATTGTACTATATGTCCAATTATACACTACTTGTATTAACATAAAAGGAACTCATTTAGACGTAGTTTAGATAAGCGCACCGAAGGCCCACAGACAGAGACGTAACTGTTGCTAGACTAAATAAAAAAAAGCAAGGTCACTATTGTCCAAAACGTAAACTTTCTGAAAAATTATACAAAGCATGAAACGTGTCTTTTTTATAGAAAAGGTTGAGTATGCTATAGATAAGTATGCGTAATACACACGAGCCTGTATGAAACAGAAGGGACGAAATATTAAGCTAAAATCAGATGCAGATATTTTTTGTAGGCTTACTCTACTGTAAATCTACAAAAAATGTATATAAAAATTAAAATATTAAAGAATATATTTTATTAGGAGGTGGTTTTATTTATTTCAGGAGGTGATTTAGAAAAAGTATTGATATCATTGTCTCCCTGACTCCCGAAAAAAGGTTTC